TGATTTTGTCAAAAACACTTCCTGCCCTCCTATGTCTTGGATCTTGCTCATACGGAGGTGGGAAATTATCATGACTCATTTGGACCTTGGTGGGTCGGCCAGAAGCGTAGTTGGAGGAAACATCAACTTCCACTTCCCTTTCAAATGGGCTTCCACCTCGGCCGTAGTCTGGCGTAGTAGCTCTATGACTTTGAACTTCATCCTCTTGCTGGTAGTGTCCTTGGGGGGCATATGGAGGAATGGGAAAGCCTCGCTGGCCCTGCATTTGGGCCATAAGCTCCCTCATAGCCAAATTTTGGCTAGCAATATCACTCATGTTGGCTGCCATGGCAGCCATTTCTCTTGATAATCGTGTCGTCGCACGCATCTCACCTCTTCTTTGGTGATGGTGGAGTCTCTGTCGAGCTGCTGGGGCAGCGGGCTGAGGAGGTACGTTTGTGTTTTCTCTTACCCTCCTAGGGGGAGTATCTTCATTGGAGCTCATTTTTTTTTGTTAGACTTTAGATTTCGCTAGGTAATGGGGCTTCCTCCTGTTCTTTTCCAAGAACAAATCCTTTTTCAAGGGGGGTTGCCCAGATTTCCTTTCAGTAAGCTTTTACCACAAGGTTGCTCGTGGTTATGGTATGGTTTCCCATAGATAGTGCCAATCTGTTGACCCCAAAAAATGTTGCCAACAGATGTCGGTCCCACCTGCACACGCGTGGGCGAATGTTTAACACGCTAAAACACGTGGACGGTCTACAACAAGCGGTTCAAAGGGCGTGGGAGTAGCCCAACGACGCGGGACGGTGACGTTCGAAATCCGACGGGTTGTTCGTGATCCAATTGTACAATAATTACGAACCGGTGTTCGTAAATGTATATGTAGATGTGTATAAACTCGATTTGTGTATTGCAAGTAAATGAGATAGAGAGTTGAGTAAAGTGTAGTTCTTTGTATTGATTCTTGCATTAGTCCTTTGATGTTACACAAGGAAAGTATTTATAGTGATAATGTGAAATGGGAGCCCTTGGATGAGGTGGCACGTGGCCTCATCTCTTTGATTCAAACATCTTATCCTAGACATGGGGCTTGACTTGCTAGCTTGCTACGCATTTATTGCTTGTGCAGAGCTTTCATGCTAGTGACAAAACTTGACTTTTATGCTTATGACAAACGTTCCATCAATCATTCGAATAAGATCTTTGTGTAGACGATCTCTTGGGAGAAGTGACCATGAAGGACACTCCCATGTGGTTCGGAGGCTCCTGCATCAGCTTCTGGGCTTCGACCATTTCATACAATACTTCCACTTGAGGGCTTCAGTTAACTTCAACTAGCTTCCACATCATGGCGTCGGCCCATAGGCCTCAACATGTGGACCTCGGTTACAATCACAGGCCTCGGTGAAAGGGCATGCCTCGAATTGAAGGGCTTCGGCCATAGCCCACCTCGACAATATATACCGCCTCGGCTGGAGTGCCACGTGGTTCGGCCTAAGTGGGCCATTGACTCAGGTAGGTTGGCCAAGTATGACAATACGCAACAACATACATAATAACTCTTCAATCTCCAACTCGCAACTTGATTATCAAACTTTTACTTTTGTTACTTCAATAGTCTAAAATCGAAATGGACTAAAGTATCGTTAATACGGAATGCTATGCTATCATTCATATCTCGTCTTTGGTAAAAAGTGCAACTAATTAATTTCAGTAAAAACAGTCAAAAAAATTTAAAGAACTTAAAAATGGAAACCAAAACTACAAGGGGAGAAATCTCCCATAGTTGTTTCCAATAGGTCTTAGTTTTCAAGTTGCCTCGACCCGTCCATTACTATAAATCATGCTAAGCCTGATATGTTGAGAATCTACACGCTAATGAACGAGTCAGATCAGTCAATATGTAAGTTATTTCCTTCTCAGTGGGGAAAACCAAAATGGTATATGCAAATTATTGCACGTAGAAAAGTTTTATATTATCATTTGTTACTTGGAGTTTTGGAATTAAATTTTATAAGTTAGAGTTAAATAATCTCACATTTATCGTTTTTAATTCATTGTTGTGTGCTGCAATTACGACTAAAAAAGGTTTAGAAAAGTGAAATATCTAGGCGTGGGAATTGAGTGGGTTGGTCCGGGTATTTCAATATCCAAAACCACCCATTATGTTTCAGATATTTTGTAAATGGAACCATTCGGGTCTTTGTAAATATTGGAATCAAAACCTAATCGAAACCGTCGATTTTGGCTCTACCCATAACATTTTTATATACATTTATTTAATAAATTTTTTTACTTAGACCCTTTTGGTACATATACCTAATATGCAGCTACTCGAAAATATTTGTGCAACGGAGAAATTTTAGTTAAAAAATTTTCAAGGAGCAAAATATTGGATATTAAAAGCCACGAAAATAGGAGAAAATAAAACAAAGATAAAAAATGAAATTATAATTTTAAAAAAATTATTTTTCTTAATAAATCTTATTGGATTTATAAGAAAAACACACTAGGTATAAAATTTAATTATGAACAGTGCTTAAATTCTTCTACTTTAAAACGAATTGATATAAAAAAAAATACTAATTAAATACATAACTAATATAATATTAAAAAATTACGATTCACATATTGAACTCGTTCTATATATATATATATATATATATATATAAAGAGAACCACGAACTCAAGATAATAAAAAGGTACAACATTGCGTAAACAATGAATATATCAAATACGAGTATTAAAAATTTTAAAAAATCACTTAAGTTTATTAACAATACAAGAAAGTAAAAAAAAAACTTGAATTACAAAGAATAATCGCTTTGATTTATCAACTTATACCACAACTTGTTTGAAATTTTTGATTTGTAAAAAGCTCAAATTATAAATATTAACATATAATAACCTCTTAAATGCAACAATCTAATGTAAGACGAGATGTAAAAAAGTAAGATTCAATTTTATTTTTTGGAATAGAGTTTAAAGTTTTATACTAATTACTACCGAAATTAGGATTTTTAGGTTTTATATGTTTTTTTAGTTTGTAAATTATAAATAAATTTTTTTTATAAAAGTTGGTTCCACTCGAGTACCCACGGTTCTCGTTCAGGAAACATGAACCGAACCGAACCTAGTCGATTATCGGTTATCGATTCCGATTCCTAATTTATTTTTTCGATAAACCGGACTGGAACGTTCGATTTCGATTCGGTTTTGGTTCCGGTTAAAATGCTCAGACCTAGAAATATCCAAGGAAAAAAAAGAAACAAAGAAAATTTATGTAACCAAGTATTAAAAGGAAAATTCAAGCAAAATATTATACTAATAAATGGCAACCAATGTTCGAACTTAATTTCAAGGAACCGAGCTAAACCTTATGAGAGTTTGTATAGATTCAAATATTTTGCCCACCTTTAATGGAGATTGTCTATGGTGGGAATTCTCTGATATACTCCTTGATAGTGGGTTAGATTTCATTTAAGGGGATTGTTTGTTGAGTTGCTTGTTTCATACATGATTGTTAATAAACATCTGTTCATTGTCAAGTGACAAAAATAAATTCTATCATCTAAATTGGATCTTTAATCGACTCGTAAGTGAGATACCCTTGTCTTGCAGTGTGAAGCCTTTTACCTTATTCAGTGGTCAAACCAGACATTTTCATCATGGTGTCAATCGTGGGTTGAGACTCGAGATGAGAACGAAGGTGGTTCGTCGACTAAATATTTGTGACTGTCTTCGACATCAAGTTAACAATGATGAACATTAGAGTTTGATAGAACTGACAAACACTGGATATTGAGAATGGATGAAAAATTAATTAATGAATTCATATTTTGACATTCTAAGCAAAAATTGTGCACATTACTAAAATAAAAATTTAAATTTCGAAGCAAACTAAAAACAAAAATCAGAATTCCAAAATTTTATGAGGTCAATAAACCCACATGACACCTTTTGCCTCTGCCAATAACCTTGTCCGTCCACACTTCACTTTATACTTAAATTAAATATTTAAATACATATATTCATAGTAATAAAAGATCATAATTTTCATATCGGGGGCAACATGTTTTAAGTAGGGCAAAATTGATTGTGCTATATGTACATCATAAGTTATCGATTTATTTACCAGATTACGCGATAAAATTTGATTGAATTAAAATCTCATCAAAAAAAAAAATAATAATCATTTTTTTTAATACCTCATCAATCAATAAAAAGATTATTTAAAAGATGATATATAACAAGCATTTTTTAAGCAAAATATACCATCATTTTGCTGGCACGCAACTATAAAGGTGGCGCTCGAGACACGTCTTGCCTCTTTGTGTATCTGCCATCGGATCTACTAACAAAATCCTCACGCACACCTCACGTAGCCTATTGTTTATTTCAATTAACATTAATTATTATTATTTATACACCTCACGACAGTGATTCTGAGGTGTTTTACTTACAAAATCAAACTACATTATTAGTGGTTTTAATGTCTTGTCCAATATTATAATTCTTTAAAACTTACAAAATTCTATGACTTGTCAAGAGGTTTTATCAAATATAGCCCAAGTTTGACAAAAAATTATGAGATTGTATATTCGTCAAAATTTCATTTTTATTCACATGATTTATTGAACCAATAATTCGTATCTATTTTTTGAATCACATTTCATGAGATTCAACGACTTAAAATCTCCAAAAATTTTGTCAAATAGGAACACCACGCTAATTATTATTGTTATAAGAACGATCAATTAATTCGATTACGAAAATTGGAAGCCGGTCCCATGTAGAGAATTAAAACTCGTCAAAATAACTTTAGAATTGACGGGTAATGAATTGCTATATTGACACTATAATCCACTTATTAATAACAATAAATGTCTCTGATTTTTTTGTTTATTGTTGAACTTATTTTCTCACATTTTACTTTCAATATATATATGATGAGGGTAATTATTTTATTTTATTTTTTTGGAAAAAAATTGCCCTTATATAAATAATCCAAACCCGAACTATTTCTTCTTACAACCTCAATAAAAGTCAACTTCGAATCTCTCTGCTGTCCAATTTTTCGACTTATCCAATGGCTTTGACCCGCGAGCAATACCTGTACATGGCTAAGCTAGCCGAGCAAGCCGAGCGCTACGAGGAGATGGTCAAGTTCATGGACAAGCTGGTGGTCACCTCCGCCGAAGGTCCCGAGCTCACAGTGGAGGAGCGCAACCTCCTCTCTGTGGCGTACAAGAACGTCATCGGCTCGCTCCGTGCCGCCTGGCGCATAGTCTCGTCGATTGAGCAGAAAGAGGAAAGCCACAAGAACGACGACGACGTGCCACTCGTTAAGGATTACAGATCTAAGGTCGAGAGCGAGCTGTCTGAAATATGCGCCGGAATTTTGAAAAATCTGAATGATTTTTTGATTCCCTCGGCTTCTTCGAGTGATTCCAAGGTTTTTTACCTTAAAATGAAGGGAGATTATCACAGGTACTCAGCGGAGTTTAAGGTTGGGGATGAGCGTAAGCAGGCTGCTGAGGATACTATGGTCGCTTACAAAGCCGCTCAGGTATCTCTCTCTTTATATATTTATATACCGTATAAGGACTTAAGTTTCTCCAAATCTTGCTATCGTATTAGAGCCATTAAGCTCGAACAAATAATTTGATCCTACTAAGACTCAAACGAGCACATAGATTCTAAGATTGATGTGTTCAAATGAGCCCAATTGTTAATGCACTCGAATATTTATTTGTGTTCATTGCTTAATCTGTTTTGAGACAAATTGAAGACTTGTTATATTTCTAATTTTCATGCCTTGTGGTGGTATTTTTGATAGAAATAAAACGATGTAAGGATTATTTTGGGATTGAGGGTTGAGATATTGGGGCATAATTTGGTGAGATTGTCGGACTTGAAGATTATGTGTTAGGTTGGAGATTTATTTTGGATATAAAATGGTGGAAATGAATCACCTTGTATAGAAGCTCGAGTTAAGTTGCTATTTAAATGGTTAGAGAGATTCATATATTTAACAATTCTGCTACACAACTCGGGATTAAATCCCAGGTTTGGCTCTACCACCTCGGCCCTCGATCTTGCATCACATGGGGCCCACCACGATCAAAGACCTCGGCCCCTGGACCTCTCGAACAATTACCTTTGATACCATGAAATATAGAATATATTTGGGTTCAGTAACTAATTTTTGGTACGCGTCTTTTCTTTTCTCTCTTTGGAAGGACTTCTGCAAGGTTTACGAGCAAAAACTTAAAGTTCTTAACACATTGTCGTTTAGTGGTAAAATGCTTATAGATAATTGGAAAAGCTGCGCAGGTTCATGTCTAGACGTTTTACTTGGAAAATTAACTTAAGAATTGTGATTGACAATCTTTCTTGGGTGTTGATTTCTTAACAGGATATTGCAGTTGCTGATCTTTCTCCTACGCATCCTATACGATTGGGATTGGCGTTGAACTTCTCTGTTTTCTACTTTGAAATTCTAAATGCATCAGAGAAGGCTTGCAACATGGCTAAACAGGTTAGTCGACCTCACATATGACTGAGTGGAATAATTTTATCCTTTTCCTTTTCGAATGGTTGACACATTGGAGCAATCTGTGTTTTCCCGTTTTGTTCCCTTTTTCAGTTTTGTAGATAATTAGTTCGGTTTTCAAAGACTAAAAAGAAAAGGTCGTAACTGCAGGGATCTGGCCATCTGGATTTAACATGACACCCAATATGACCTTGGAAATTATAGATAACTTAAATGATTTTAGAAAAAAATACCTCGTAAAAGTAACCAACATGCAGTAACCACACCGGTTTTTTAATATTTCCACACAAGTAATCATTGTGGAAATGGAAATCTTTCCATGAAGGACCTGTTAAAATGTGAACTATTTATGTGGGTAGTTTTGACTGTCTTTATATATTAGAACTTTCGATGACTAACATATCATTCATGGAAACTTGCCATGAGTCTCGATACTGCACCGGTTACGAGCCGACATGGGAAGGCTTCCATGACCATTTATAGCTGTCTCCAAAACCCAAAATCCATGAAGTGATTCAACTTAATTAAGGTTTACGAAAATATATTCAAGAAATTTTAAAGTAAGTTGTGTCATAATTTATTAACCAAATGTTGGGAATCTACTTAAACATGCATAGCGGAAATAAAATAATTTTCGATTCCCACCAGAATTTATTTTTGTATTTAGATAGAAACTGTGATAGAAAGTGGTACCTTTTACGAGATCTGCAAACTCCTTTGCTATTCTTTCGTTCCAACGATTTTGATTTGTCACCCATAGCTGTCCAATTGTTCAGTTTTCAACTATGATCCACATAGAGAACAATATTGTAGTATTAGAGTTTTTCTTGTGCTAGCAAGAATAATAGAAAAATCTCTACAATTTTGAAAGCCCTAGTCATATTTATATAAGCCCAAATGGGTTTAGCCTGGCCCGATCCAGTATTTAATTAACCCCTTTAATTAAATTCGGTCCTTGAACTAATTAATCCAATTAATTAATTCGGGCATATAAATATGCAACCCAATTAATTAATTTACCTAACGATTGTTAAATTAATTAATAGATAAATTACAATCTTCTAATTCTCTTTTTGTGTGTGACCCATCAGGTTTCTGATCACGATGCCTAACGACGTAAAATATTATTTTGATCTAATCAAAATTGATAAATTAAAACACCCTTTTAATTTATCACCAATTCACATTTGTCATTCTAGATTGACATCTAGCAATATGTTAGGGCAATACATGTGACGAAAAATGTCTCGTAGTATGACAAAATCAAATTTGTTCGTTTATCGTGAAATTATAATTCTTTCGTCAATATGATCCGATCAATAACGAAATATGGAATTGTGTCAATCCCGATTATCGATCATATATTTCACTACACTATTAAGTCAATATAAGTTGAAAACTCCTTTTCGACTTATTTCGACTTATACACCTTGGCCAAGGATTTTGTTATCGACTTAATTAAATGAAATGCAGATCATAATCTCTTACTATCTAAGAGTGACGAATCATCTATTGGTCATTCACAACTTTCATATGATTCTTGACATACCCGAACGATGCCATATTAGCGGCTCTTAGCAGAGCAACATCCATCACCGTCAAAGCATGACTGTCCTCATATAAAGTATTATGACGAGCTCAAGTCAAAGGATCAATTTCACTACTAAACGTTAGAGATTAACCACTGACACTCAAATAGTTATCTATGTGAAATCTTTCGACGGGTCTCTAATATTTTGTTTTATAACAAAAAATCCACGTGTTCATTTAAGTCTCACTACACTTTAATTTGTGAGATTAGCTACTTACTTCATAAGTAAGAAATGTCACACGTGATGGTCTATCTGTAATAACGATATATGTATCTCGTTATTACATACGATCGCGGACAATTTAAGATTCAATCATATATAATTTGTATCTCACAATCACAACTTCTTGTAATTAACAAATTACGAAAATTTGAATTTACGGACTCTATTATTTAATTTAATTGTTTATTAATTAAATAATAGATCTATCAATAAACTGCATTAATTATATATTAAGAGTACTTATGTCTAAGGTTGATTGGACTTAGGGCATAACCAAATAAGAAAAACAGGATGATGTTAATATATATAGTGAATAGAATTTAGAGAATGGATTCAATTTATTAACTTCCATATTATTACCTATTCGACGGATATTGACTAGCATGAGCAATGCATAATGTATTTACTGATGAACTAATTGATCTGAAAGCGGAAGCTATTAGATAAGATCGTGTGTATATGATTTAAATTCTCTCTTCAACATGAGCCCTCACATGTAGGAGGAATTTATTTTTTTCCCACGAAACGTGACACATGGATAATTTATCTAAATAGGCACTGGTGAGACTTCAAATTAGGACCTTCGTATAATTTGGTACCATGTTGAACTAATGAATCCGAAAGCTTAAGTTCTTAGATAAGATTTCATGTATATCATTCAAATATTCTCTTTAAGATTAACTACCCCTAAAACCCCTCATTATACAGCATAAAGATGTTTGCATTTATTTCTAAACGATACTTATTGATGGTGCCAACATAAAGCTCGGCCGATGTTTTAAACTTGATTTTATACACGTAGGCTTTTGAGGAAGCTATTTCTGAGCTGGACACTTTGGGGGAGGAGTCGTACAAGGACAGCACTCTTATCATGCAACTTCTAAGGGACAATCTCACTCTTTGGACCTCAGATATGCAGGTAAAGTTCCTAGAAACTTCATGTAAATCCAAATTTTTTCTTATGAATATTCATTTAATTTCGGACAATATTTATTTGATACATAACTGCAATGAAATCCCTAAACCTTGTTCTCAATAAATTTGGGTTCGAGTACTTTACGAGGATTCATACTATAAGATATTACAAAGTTTTACATTGTTTGTCGACTAATGCAACTCTGATCTTTTGTCCTGACACGAGACTGTATATGTAAAAAACGAAGATAGTCGTAGTTAAATGTATGTATTCAATTCTAGCAAGTACTATTTTGATCAGTTTTCCTTGTAATCTGATACTGGGTTTTTGGAAAAATTATTTATATAGAACCTGGAATTGAAATGAATTTAACTACATTGATGCAGGATCCAGCAGACGATGCTTGAGGTGATGGCTAAATCTACTCCTGAATTAAGGAGGTGGGCTTTTAATCTCACAATTTGTCTTGGGATTTACGTATATACAGCTAGTCATGGTTTTTTTATTTGTTGTTTTAATAATACGAAGTTTTATTTAAATTTTATGAATTTCTTTGACGATTTGCATGCTCCAAATGCTTCTTGGAATGTAGAAAATTTGTTTGAACGAATACGAGGTATTCACATACATAGTTCCAAGAGAATGAAACAAATCCAATGGAAAGATGTTTGGTCGAATGATTGTGCTTAAAGTCGTATGTTAATTGCTTTTTTGAGCAACATGTCTCTCTATTCATTCATTTGTACTTTTAAATTTCCTATTTTATCATATGGTCATGCCTATTATTTGGAAACATAATCTTTACAGGTGGCCGCACCTGATTGGCCATTTTTCTTTTTTTTCTTTTTTCTTTTTTATGTTAAAGTGTCAATGGAAAAATGACAATTGTGCATCTGTAAAGATTTGTGAAAGAAATTTTGTACGTGTAGCACAATTCTGACTATATGATCACTTTTTGGTTTTATAATTTCAGCCATAAATTATTAAGAGAATATCATAGGCGTATCATAATGTTTGAAAACTCTCATTCACCTCCTCTAATTTTAGTTTTAAGTACTATATTTACCTCATTATCACTTTTCGAGTCACTAAAATGATTTCGTTGCAAAGAAAAGATCATTTTTTTCCCTTTTACAATTAGTGATAATTTAATTGGTTTCCTTTAATAATAAATTAATAATTGTAGACATTGTGCATATGCAATTTTGAATATGCAAACTTGTGAAAATTTTAACTCAATATTTTTCGAAGAATTTGGTAATATATGATTTAAAGCTTTTTCTAAATAAATTATATATGCTAAGTGTAGTTTCTATACTTATTTGAGATTCTAAATGTTGATATTTTTTTATTCTTTGGACAGATTAGTACATAATTTGTTATTTGTCTTGTGGTAATCGTATGTTTATTATATCTTAGAAAAGAATAGGAAATAAAAGTGGAATTATCAATTGTCACAATTGAATGAATTAAGTTAATTGTCGCTGGTTCAGAATTAGAACTAAGAATTGATGAGTAAAGTTGAAAATTCAGTACATGCACCCAGATTTGACTTTTAAACCTATTATTATTAATTTCACAAGTTTTTGTTATAAAACATAGTTAGTTACCAACCAAGAATCTTTTGTTATAGTCTGGAATTTAAATATATTAAATAAACTAGAATTGAAATTTATTCTCTATGGGACGATAACTTTCTCATCACGATTATTACTTGTACAACAAACCTGTATGGCTGTGGGATTTGGACGAAGAAGTTTTTGGCGTATTGTAGGATAATAATGGTGTTAATTTTAGTTATTGGGTATTATAGATTCGTTTTCATTTTGACTCTTGTTATTTTTAGGCTAATTACTATATTGCTTAATTCTTTTGCATCTTGACCATTTTCAGATGAATTTGGTATATGCAAAATCATGACGAACTCGATCTAATTCCAATAGATCACGAAATCAAAAGGACATCCAGAAAATCATAGAAGAGTGCAACATCAAACAAGGAGAATGACCGATAATTAGAATCAACCGCAGAATCAAAGTCAGGTTTCGGAGCAACTACCGCAGCCAAATCAACAGAGAGCTATTGAGAATGAAGCTCCTATTTTAGTTGGGGATTAATGTAAATCCAATTCCTGTATCAGTACAACCTGTCATAGTATATCCTTCTTTCGGACAATTTAATTTCCACTTCAAATCGGATGTCATCAATCAATTTCAGATGTCATAAATCAATTTCAAAATCACTAAGACATTAGGTTTTTTGGGAAAGTCACAAAGAACCTTCATAAACATATTTCGGCTTTTCTCATGTTATGTGAAATGATCAGCCACAAAGGGATATCAGCAAGACTCATTTCGAATGCAGTTATTCCCTTGTACCTTGAAGGATGTCGCAAGAGAATGGTTCCTTTGTTTAACTTCAGGGAGCATACAATCATGGAATGATATGATTTAAAAATTCACCATTAAATTCTTCCCATATTCTATAGTTCACCAAATCAAGAATGAAGTTCACACTTTCAAATAGAAAGATTTTGAGTGTCATCCTGAGGCATAGAAGAGGTTCAAGAATTTATTTAAGAAATGCCCTAGCCTTGATATTCCTAAACAGGCTCAACAATATCTCTTCTACTAGGGTCTACAGCAAGAGTTTAGGAATATGATAAATGCTTCAACGGGAGGATCAATGATGAAACTTAACATCGATGAGGCCTATGATTTGTGTGAAAAAATGGTTGAAAATCAGTTGATGTGGCCAACCGATAGGAAATCCCTAAGGAAAGCAATAGAGTTATACAACGTAGATGCACTGACAGCATTGGCTGCGCAAATGAAAGTTCTTACAATGAAAATGGACAATTTATCTAAGTTAATTAACATGGTACTCCAATTGCTACCTGATTGCGAAGGTTGTGGAGTGGATCATGCTACTATACGCTGCCCTTCTGCTTATATACATGTCAATCAGCCTGAGGAGGCGAGCTATTCGCAGAACTTCTAGAAATGGCAAAACAACCCATACTCCAACATATATCATTCGGATAAGAGAAACCATCCAAACTTTTCATGGTCTAACAATCGAGGACAAGGACATGTATGAAACAATCAGAATAAATCACCAGGGTTCCAACAATATCAACAACTACAAATAAGAAAGTCACCGTTTGAAGATTTGCTAGTTCAATATATTACAAAGACTGAAACCAATTTTTAGAATTGACATGCTTCTATTAAGAATTTAGAACATCGGGTAGGATAGATAGCAGCTCAAATAGCTCATAGACCACAGGGTACATTGCCTAACGACACATGGAAAAACTCACGCAATCAAGTACTAGTAGTTGAGGGGGTGAATTCTAAATCTAAAGAGTCACCATCATTCATCCTGGCCACTCAGGTTCAGGCCATCACCACTAGAGTGTGGTTCAGCTACTGGATATTATTACAAGGAGAAACAAAACTGAAGATACTCGGGTATCTATGAAGGGCAAGGAACAAGTGGAATATTCTGAAGAATTAACAGAGAATGATCAGCACTTGCCGAAAGATAGTCCATATGTTGAGGTAGAAGTTCCAGTCAAATCACTTGCACACCCAGTCCTATTTCCTCAAAGGTTGAAATATACCAAACTGGAGAAGCAGTTCCCAAAATTCTTGGAAGTCCTTGGAACTCTGCATGTCAACATCACTTTCATTGGCGCAATACTTCAAATTCTAAACTACTTCAAGTTCTTGAAGGAGATGTTGAATAAGAAGAAGAAGTTGCTTGAGCATGAAACAAAAAAATTTATCTGAAAAATGTAACGGGATTATTCAGTGCAGGATCCCTTCTAAACTTAAAGATGTAGAGAGTTCCACTCTACCTTACTCCATGGAAAATTCATAAGGTATTAATTGTTTAATTGATTTAATAGCAAGTATTAACTTAATTCCCTTGCCTCTTTACAGGAAATTAGGATTGGGAGATTCCAAGACTGTTTCTATCATCCTTCAACTAGCGGATAGATCGCTGAAATACCCTTACAAAATAGTTGAAAACATGCTTATCAAGGTGTGGGAGTTTATTTTTGTAGCTACTTCACCATCCTTGATATACAAGACGCATATCAGATGCCAATAATCCTAAAAAGACCATTTTTGTCTACAAGTCTAGCTTTGCTGGATTTTGATCTAATGAGATAGTCCTGATTGTAGAGAATAAGCAATAAAGCTTCATAATGGAAAACCAATCAAGTAATTCTCACCCAGATAAATGTGGAATTGTTGGTAGGGACAATGATGGAGACTTGATTTTGTGGAGGATGAAAGATGAAAGAAGGAAGTGCAATCAATACATATAATGCAGAGCTGAAAATTCCCTTTTCAAGCCACTATGAAGAGCCTAAAAGTAATAGGAGTCGAGCCAAGGACTTTAAACAGCGCTTGCTGGGAAATAACCCAACACTTCTATTCCTTTTATTTATTCTGCTTTTTGGATTTAGAAATGTTTAAGGTAATTTAGATTAGTTTTCATTCAATTTTAAAAACTCATCATCCACACCCCGTTTTCCTTATGTCCCGTATATATTAGTTGGTTTATTAGCTATTTTAGCTAGTGTGTTCTAGGTATTTGATTTTTAATGTTTTATTTAACTACATTGTGCAGGAACATGAAATTACGAAAATTTAAACCTACATTGACCAAGGAGACAACGGGGCCAATAGGCAAACCTAGCTAATTATTTTCACGCCATATAATGAGAGCATTTTCTTCCTTTTCTTCTCCACCCCGTTATATACGGATTTAGAATTTACGACATTGAGGACAATATCTAATTTAAGTTTGGGTCTTTTTATTTTGTGTGTTTTTGTATATATTTTATTTCTTTAGATATTACAAAAAAAATTCAAAAATATTTTCTTTTTGTTTGCTTGTGTGAGTTAGTTAGCTTGACTGACAGTGAGAAATATATTGAATTATGAATTGATCCATAACTGTTGAATAAATTGCATGCTTAAGTTAATTTTTACTTTTCATGAGAAACATGATATATATTGAGCACGTGAATTAAGAAGCATTGTGTAGAAATGAGTTAATTTCATAATTAGATAGGTTGAAATAGTGGACCATAGATGCTAAATCCAAAACTACTAAATTTTACATCTTTAGAGCAAATTTACAATAGTTTGGGAGATTTCATTGTTGTAGAAAGATGTTGAGATAAATGGAGATTCTATCGGTAAAATTAAAAATCTTGTGTGGATTGTCTAAGGTCAATATGATGAAATTGGGTGAAAAGCTCAAGTTAGAGGTCGGTTCACTTGGATAGGTGTCTACTGAGAGACATTGCACTAATCAAGGCATAAAAAAATATTTTAGTTGACAATTTCTCTTCATAGTTTTTTTGACTCGATTATTAAGTCTGTAAGGGTGCTAAAATCTGTTGCTCTAAAGTCAAATGACTTGAGAGTCATTGGCTAAAGCTTGCTAAATTGGTCATTTAAAAAGTTTAAGGGAGAGAATGTTGCAAATAAAAAAAAATGTTGAAATAAAAATTGAAAAAGTAGGTGCATAAAACAAAAGATGTACTGAATGCATTGGATAAGTCCCAAACACTTGTTTAAGAAAATTGGCTTTTGATAAAGGGTTATTAGCCTAGTTGAGTTCTAGATATTGAAACAATCAAACTATGAAGAATCCTTGTTTACTGATATATCAATTTGCAATTAGTGAGATTTACGTAAACTAGAGAGGTGATGATAGTATAAAAATTCAATCTTAAATCACACACTTGAAAAGAGCGAAAAGAATAAGTTTGGAGTGTGCGAGTCTTACGACTGATGAAAGGATTTGATCATTGAAGGTTGGGAATTGAAAGTATTTGTGAATTCATGATACTATGTTTAATTCTTTACACACATATACGCCAATTTTACATTGAAAAAGTATATTTTAATTTCTGTATTCTGATTTTGAAGCAATACATATAAATAGGAGAACACATTCAGACCTAAAGATGGAGATTGTAAGCCAACTTTTGAGATAAATAAAGAGAATATACATTGAAGAACAAAGAATTCATCCTTTGAATCCAAATTTGAAGGCATTAATTGAAGATTTTCAAATTTTCTTCATAGTCTAATGATTCGGGGTGATGACTTTCTTTTATTTTCTTTGTAATTCTTACATTTATATGCTATGCTAAAATCTTTTGTATTGGATGGATGACAACTATTTGATTCTTAGTTTTTAATTTGTAATTCTATTAATATATATAATTACATTGTTTTAATGTTGCGCACTATTAGATCAATAAGTTGTTTATTCGTAGTGTTAGAAAACTCACGGTAAGTAGAACATTATTTATAGAATACATGGACAATAAATATTACAAACAAAATTTATGACGTGTGCAATCATGTGTGATAATTATAAGTGTCAATACATGTTTGCCAAATGAATTTGAACTAGAAATGGGATTATCTCGTAATAATCATAAGTTTATTATATGTTGGAAAAGAATAGTAAATAAAAATGAAATTATCGATTATCACAATTGCATGAATTGAGTTAATTATCATTGGTTGAGAATTAGAACTAAGAATTGATGAGTGGAGTCAGAAATTCAATACATTCACCCACATATGACTTTTAAACCAATTGTTATTAATTTCACAAGTTTTTGTTATCAAACATAGTTACTAACTAAGAATCTTTTGTTACATTCAAGAATTTAAATATATCAAATATACTAAAATAATGCATTATTCCCCATATGACGACAACTCTCCCATCACGATTATTACTTGTACAACAAACTCGTACGTTTGCGAAATTTTGACAAACAATATATTATGAACACATGATTTAAATATTAATAATTTCAAGTTATAAATAGCATTTCATATTTATAATTTTATAAATTCAAAGGAGATGTTTACATTTACGTTTCGCAGTTCAAGTAAAATTTAGCTGAAAAATAGCATAGGTCACTGCATTCAAACATTATACACTATTAAAGCTTATTATTAATGATGATCATTTTATATAGTAGTTAGCTAAGTGAATCAGATATATTAATCGACATTATATTTTTAGAACAATATTGTAATATTTGTTGTGGTCAGTTATATTTAATTATACTTAAAAATGTATTTCGTTAATTAAACACTATATACATGTATACAATTAACTTAAACATACATTCAGAAAAATT